GTCCTGGGCAGCCTGCTGTAGGTGACCTTGCTCGAGCAGTGTGTTGAACTAGGTGATCTGGAGGGATCCTTCCCCAGTCATTCTGTGATGCTGTTTAATACGGGTAAGCAGGAGATGAGAATTTATATTCCCATCATACAGTCTCTTGACATATAGATTTTTCTTTTTTTGTATAACATACCTACTTTAAAATTCAAGTTAAAAAATTGAAAAAGAACCAGCAGTGACTCGATAACCAAACTGAGAGGTTTTTATAAAGCTGTAATGGAATTGATTGTAATAAAATCTGTCCCAGAAATGCCGTGCTCATCTTTTTAGTCTGTTATAACTGATGATTCTGATTCATTGGTAGAAAACTATTTCACTTACTATTTCTGCATTGTTTTGTCCTTGTGATTGCTACCAAAAAAATGAACAAATGCAGAATTATGCTGATAAACATAGGAGATTAATAACAAATTGAAAGTCAGTAGAGTAAAAGGCATTCAAACATGATAACCTGGTCAAAAATTAATTAGACAGGCCCTGAGCAAGATATTCAGGGAGCTTGTGTGTCTGTGGCCTTATGCAAACAACAGCTGATACCTCAGTTGTTAAAACTGCATGGCAATAATGGCAGTATCTTCCAGGCCCTCTTAACAATAAAGTTACAGTCTCAGCAGACAAAGGATTAGATGAAGCTCCCTCATCTTGAGAATGTCTAATGTGGGACTGCCCTCAAGATCTGTATTCTTATTTTCTATGAAAAGGTTTCCTTTCCTGGTGTATGAAAACACATGGCAGAGGATGTGGTTATAAAAATTACCTGTATGTATATGTAATTGCATCGATAGGTTGCTGTAACTCATGTCAAAAGTACAAAACAATCTGGACTTTCTTTCTGTGGAACCCACCTGGATGAGGGTATAGAATGTACCCTCAGCAAGTTTGCTGATGACACTAAGCTGGGAGGAGTGGCTGACACACCAGAAGGCTGTGCTGCCATTCAGAGAGACTTAGATAGGCTGGAGAGTTGGGCGGGGAGAAACATGATGAAATTCAACAAGGGGAAGTGCAGAGTTTTACATTTGGGGAAGAACAACACCATGTCCCAGTACAGGTTGGGGGCTGAACTGCTGGAGAGTAGTGTAGGTGAAAGAGACCTGGGGGTCCTGGTAGACAGGAGGATGACCATGAGCCAGCAATGTGCCCTTGTGGCCAAGAAGGCCAATGGCATCCTGGGGTGCATTAGAAAGGGTGTGGTTAGTAGGTCAAGAGAGGTTCTCCTCCCCCTCTATTCTGCATTGGTGAGGCCACATCTGGAGTATTGTGTCCAGTTCTGGGCCCCTCAGTTCAAAAAGGACAGGGAACTGCTCGAAAGAGTCCAGCGCAGAGCTACGAAGATGATGAAGGGAGTGGAACATCTCCCTTATGAGGAAAGGCTGAGGGAGCTGGGTCTCTTTAGCTTGGAGAAAAGGAGACTGAGGGGTGACCTCATCAATGTTTACAAATATGTAAGGGGTGAGTGTCAGGGAGATGGAGTTAGACTTTTCTCAGTGATGACCAGTGATAGGACAAGGGGTAATGGGTGTAAATTGGAGCATAGGAGGTTCAAGGTGAATATCCGAAAAAATTTTTTTACTGTAAGAGTGACAGAGCACTGGAACAGACTGCCCAGGGAGGTTGTGGAGTCTCCTTCACTGGAGACATTCAAAACCCACCTGGATGCATTCCTGTGTGATGTACTCTAGGTGACCCTGCTCTGGCAGGGGGGTTGGACTAGATGATCTTTCAAGGTCCCTTCCAACCCCTAGGATTCTATGATTCTATGATTCTATGAATACCCATCATCAACACACTATGATACTGTCCAGGTATTTTGACATCCTGGAATTTGGGAACTCAGGTCACACTATATGTCACCACCTCAAAACACTTGGCTGGCATCCTGGTTGCACCAGGAACAAAACCAATGTACCTGTGGCACAGGGGCCTTCCCTGTGTTCATGAGATTCTCCATTGCAAAACGTCAAGATCTCACATCAATGCAGAGCCAATACAGATAGCAGATATATTAGTTAGCCACTGATGGAGCTGGTCAGATGCTAAAAGTCATCACAGATCATGATCAAATATGTGGCAAAATGTGCTCACTAAATGTATATGTTGGAATGCTACCTAAAAAAAAAAATGTTATTTCTGAAATACTAAGCACCATTCCTGACTCCTCCCAAGGTCCATGGCTACATGTAAACTGCACAGCCTTGCCTGTAGTGTGAGTCTGCACTTGGGTGCACATGTGCAGTTCAGACTTACATCATATAGCACTGTGGAAAACACCTTACACTTATTCTGGTGAAAGCAAAGTGAATTGAGAAGCAGCTGGATTTTTGAGGAACAGCTTGTTTGCTGCAGATCTCTGATTTTTGTAAGGACAAACAAGCAAAGATTTATCCTGCTCTCATTACAAAGAGGAAATTACTGGCATCAGATGAGTACTGCTACCACATGGGAATACAGGCTTAGAAAAACTGAGACATCTGGAAAGATGGAGTAAAAATTATACAGTATGTGACAGCACCAATGGCTAATGTAAAAGCAGTTCCAGGATGCAGCCAAAAATCTCTTCTCTTGGGTCTGTATTCACTCCAGCTATACACTCTGACTCTGTCCAGTTGCTGAAAATTGCCAGCCAGGTGTGCAGTATCTGCAAAGTGATGTCCCATGAAAGGGAAAAAGTAAGAGCACTTCCCTTTAGCCCCAGTCTTTCATAGAAGTAAGACAGATACAATATTGTCCCTTTTCCACCCTCAGAAACAAAAATTTTGCACCAAAATGGTTTCTAAGGATTCAGAAGGAAGTAAAACCGAGATGATGAAAAGTAATTCCTTCTTATCCTGCAACTTGGCAAGTTACCTGAACTGTTTATTATCCAGCTTCTCTGAAAGTAAGCTGTGAGATAAGGGTTCTTACCTTGTGAAATGCAGAGGTATATTATTAAAGCCCTTCAAACTCTCCAAATGAAAAGTGGTTAATTTTCTCTCGTTTTTTCTTCTCACTATGTCAATTCTTTGGGTGACTGTGTTCTTTGCTAAAGTCATCCTTAAGGTAGGGACTGTTGCTCTGCCTTTCAAAATTGTTCCTTACCTTCATTAATCCTTGGCACTGGGCAGTCTCCAGTTTTCACCTTATAATCTTATGGCTGGTTTGGACAACTCCTTATTTCTCATTGCTTTCAATGCTGGATAGTTTATTTGAATCACTTCTTAGAAAAAATGACCTTTTTGTAGACCTTTGATGTATGTCTTCAGGGAATCTAAGACAAATTGTTTTATCTGAAGGTCTTCTTTCACTACTGCATCCCAGTTCCTCTGCATTTTAATCAATCAGAGAGGTTGTGCTCTGTCTCCACTGCCAGACTTGTTTATCATTAAATATTCCAAAAATATCAAGAACCACCATTCTGCTTTCTCCCAGATTGCATTTTATGCATGGGAGGAATTTCTTTAATTAATTTCAGCTCTGAAACTCTTGCCATAATTCCAAACAGCTGCTCTGCTGTCCCTACTGTTAATGAGCTTTGTCTTTATATGACTAGGAGAAGGACAGAAAGGGCCATGCTGGCTAAAATTGTTTAAAATTAGTTTTCAACATGCAAAATAAACTGGACAGCTCCTGTCTGAGACTGATTGTGGTGTTGCTCCCCCCTCTGCAGAAATTTAATCTGTTTGGGCTAATGAGAATGAGACTCAGAGCAGAAGCAGGAGGTATTGACTTTTCCACTTTTTGGAAAAATATCCTTCTTTTTCTTTTTTCTTCTGTTTTTATTGTGGGTTTTTTTTTCCAAATTGACTGAGGCTGTTTAGTCTGAATTGTCATTCTTAAATAATTGTCCTAGGAGGAGGAGTACATTTCAACCTCATGCCATCCTTTGAAAATTTAGTTTAGCTGTTAGCTAGAGAGATGCAGCCTGACATTCTGAACCTACATGCAGTGTGAAAAATTGCTTTGATCAGGTTGTGTTTATAATTTGAGGCAGTAAAATAGAGTTCTTACTAATTTTGTTTAAGGCATGATGTATTGTGTAATCCACAGAGAAACTCATTTCAAAAACACTGTAACCATAAAAACAGCTGTTCCACTGAGTCATTTTCCCAACATGCAACTTAAAACAAAGCAAAACAGAGAGAAAAAGCCTCTCCCAGTCGTAACTTATGTGTTGATAAGATTATGGAGTAGGATAATGCTGGGAATGTGGGGACAAAAAGCAGAAAACTTATCTCCACATTCCATTTATACCAGAAGTTTGGAAACAGAAAAAAGAACCTTTGGAGTTAAAAACCAGAAAAATCTCAGTTTTGAAGATATATTGGTACTTAAACTAAATGATGAACAGCAAGACATGTATTGATAGTCAAAAACAATTTGCAAAGATAAGAATATAGTTTAATGTCAGAAGGAAGGGAACTAAAGTAATGAAACAAGGTACTTGCTGAATACCTAAAAAAAAAATGCATAGCACATATGTGCTATGTTCATGTTCATATGTGTGTATGTTCATGGTTCTGTAAGTATAATATAGTTCCTGGAAGACAGGAATATCTGCTAAAGGAGGTGGAGGAAGCTGCACTACATAAAAGGAAAATAAAGAAAAAACAACATGTACTGCAGGCACTAGTTTTGAAGAAAGCTGAGTTCAAACAATCGAAAAGCCCTTTTCATACTTCATGCCACCCAGCTTTTGGGGGGAAAATACAACCAGAGTCCTCTCAAGATGAGCCTTATACTGAATTCCAAACAAGGTTAATTTTTTTATTTATTTATTTTTTTTAATGGGGGTGTGGGGAGGAAAAGAGTAGAACATGTAATGTGCTTCTATTATAGGGCTGTTGCAGGAACCAGAATTTAATTTTTGTAGATGTGCAATCCAGAGATGCTTGCTTCCTATGCTCTATGCCTTGGAGATGCAGAGCTCCAGCAAGCACAGATATGTGACATGTATGTGTTTTTCTTCTGTGCAGATATCTCAATAAGTTTGCTGTCCTTAGTTGTCACAGCCTGTGGTCTTGCTCTGTTTGGTGTCTCTCTGTTCGTGTCCTGGAAGCTTTGTTGGATCCCTTGGCGAGAGCGCGGTCTGCCGTTTGGGAGCAAAGACAACAAACAGGAACCACTGAACTACACAGATACAGAGACCAATGACCATGACTACAGTGAGGATTATATGGGACAGCCTACAGCCTATCCAGAATCCTCCATGAAGATCAGCCACACCTCCCCTGATATTCCATTAGATGCTGAGGCAGGAACGAAGGAGAACTGCGTGCACGATGCGCGGATGCATCGTCAGATCACTGAGCCAACCTCTTCTGATCGGTCAGTAACTTCATTTTCTCTCTGCTATTAATGGAGATACAGTCAAAAGAGCACTGCTTCATCACCCAGTACACTGATCTATTAAAAATGCATAATTTACTTGCCACGTGCCTTTTAAAAAAAATTACACAAAAGTTATTCCTTGAGGTGCACAGACGTCTTAGATTAAAAGGACAGGATCACAAGGCTATTCCAGTCTTCTCAACTACTGTCTCATTTGTGCCTCTCCCTCAGAAGCTGGACAATACAGAGCACTGTGTGTCCCATAAAGCACCAGAACAGCCTACATTTAGCTTGTGAAGCGTATTCATTTGCACTTAGCTCTCATGCTGAACACTCAGTAAATTCTCCTCAAAGATTCTTAAAACAGCCACAGAAGAAAAGTAGGGCAAGCTAATGAAACACTTGCAAGAGTTAGAAATAGGATTAGAAATCATAGATTTTAGCCCCAGTCATGATTGTGGGGGAAAAAGCGACTGAACAAGTCAGTGAGTTCTCCAGGGGAACTGGAGAACCAGTACAGGAGGGAAGAGGAAGGAGGGAAGGTGAGACTGTGTGCAGGGGGAGGTGATAAAAGGATTATGTTTCACACAGTAAGAAAAAAGATCAGCATGTGAAGTCAGTAAATCTCTGAGCCAAAACAGATGCACTTCAGCTGGAGAAGGTTCACCACTAGCCCAACTGCTCTTTGCTAGCCTCCTTTCTGACCATCTGGGAGAGTCTGTTTAGCTAAGACTCTTGCCTGCAGGCACCCCTGAACATGGGTAAGGTGACAGCAGCTAGCAGCCAGTTCAGTAATTCCCATTCAGTAATTCCCAGGAAGTCAAAGCCATAATTATGGATACCCAACCTTGCACCCTACCTCAAGTGAGGTGGAATTCCAGCTCAGGACTAAGAGTTCAGAAGTGTGGTATAGGGCTGGTGCTGCTCTGTTTTCAAACTGCTAGGAAATAAGTATGTCATCAGATTCATTAACAACAGATTTCTATCTGACACCCAACACCAAGAGCTCTCATGTATCTTCGATATTGTGAAAGTATTGAGTCAGATACAGGCTTTCTCTGCTATAGCAGGGCAGCAGAATTGATAATCAAGTGACAAATGCAGTGTCAGCACAGCATAGACACCTCACAAGAAGCAGCAGCAGTCCTGATCTGAAGAGAATTTACTCAACATCCTGAGTGCACGGACAATGTCTTTACTCCTGTAAAGACTTTCCTGGTGCCCACACCAGAAAGGCCCAGTCTGGCTCCCTCCAGCAGGCATTACAGTGGCTCTCTGTCCACAAGGGTGTGACTTGCCAAGGTCCACTCCTGCCCTGTGTCGTTTGCTGATACATGCTTTGCTCTTTACCCCTCTCTTTAATTCTCCCGTGCTTTTTTGGCAAGGTCTTCTCCAAAAGACTCATTTCACTGAGCAGGAGGATCCCATCTTCCTTGAACTATATCCTTAGTTTTGTTCCCCTTTGCCTCTGCTGCTTTCTGGCATAGCTGGCTAGCCAGCTGGGCCTTTCTGGTGTGGGCACAGAGACCAGGCACCTGCCCTCTGTTACAATCCTTGCTAAGCTGTCTCTCCAGTGCCCTCCTTTTTATTCCTCCCCAGGATATCCTGCACCTCCCACTGCGATGAGGAGCTGAAGGGTTGAGCAATAATACTATCTTTTTGTGTGACACAATGATATTTTATCATGGAAATGACTAATGTGTAGCTATGAAATTATGTCTTTACTATGCAACAAGAGAAAAAATTAGGGTAGTGTGTAAGAGGCTGTTCCTGTTTTAAGCATGCATAAACATATTTACAAGCAATGAATGAACAATGATAGCAGAGGAACTATTGCTGATTACATTCAACATAAATAGCTTTGGAATAATCTCATGCTAGCATTTTCCATGTGCTCCTTTCTACTTTCAACCACAACTCACAGTACTCCAGTACACTGAATGATAGTTGCGTATATGTAGGACAAAAAGTGGAATCCAACTCATACAAGATTAGGATTTTACCTAATCCATCTTTAAGATCCCACTACCCCAACGGGGTTTGCAAATTTGATTTCTGTTATCATCTCGTGAAGTGGAAATTTCAATCACAATAACTGAGTGACTCCGGGTGATAAATTTCACTGGACCGAAGCTAAGAGCAACTTTCTCTCCTCAGGGTAATGAAACTAAAGGAGCTTTTCAGCCAAAGTACCACAAAGCTTATTACATCAGGTATGAGAAAAAACAAAAAACAATTGTTGGGGTAGTCAACAAACCATTTCAAACGAGAAGAGCTCATTTGTAAATGAAGTACTTGTAGAGATCAACAAGTAATTTAAATGCAGAGACGTCAGAAGCATCCTTCTTTGACCAGCTTTACCTTAGCACCAGAAATCAGCAATCCTGCTACTGTTTACATAATGTAACTTTTTTCATAGGCATGAATCCAAAGAAATCTGTTGAAAATGGTAACTGATAAGAACAGCAACATTTGTTATCATATCACTTTATGCTTGCCAGCGAGGCAGATCCTTTGGATTTGCTGAGGCCACAAATTTGCAGTTGTTACTTTCTTCGGCCAGGTTTGGATGCCACTAGTTTGAGACACAGGAACAGAAAATCCTGTGGTATGAGCAGCCTAATGCAGAAGGAGAGCTCTCACATCAGGGTATCATGCTGTATCGCTCTACAAGAGTAAACATCTGGCCCTGCCATACATTACAACAACATGTCAAATGAGAACAGGATCTTGATTTTTATCGTCTTCAGCATGTTCTATTTCAATTCTTTCATTTTCACTTCAGGCATAACTCAATCCGAAGACAGCTCAACCTCTCCAACCCCGACTTCAACATCCAGCAGGTCCAGAAGCAGGAGCAGCTGACGGGGATTGGCCGCATTAAGCCAGAGCTGTATAAACAAAGATCAGTGGACACAGACGACGGCCGGAGGAGCAATAGCAAGGCATGTGGAAAACTGAACTTCATTCTGAAATATGATTGTGATTTAGAGCAGCTGATAGTGAAGATACACAAGGCCATCAACCTGCCAGCAAAGGACTTCTCTGGAACTTCAGATCCATACGTGAAGATATATCTGCTTCCTGATAGGAAAACAAAACACCAGACTAAAGTGCACAGAAAGACCCTAAATCCAGTATTTGATGAAGTTTTTTTATTTTCTGTCCCATACAATGATCTGAACGCAAGGAAACTGCATTTCTCTGTGTATGACTTTGACAGATTCTCCAGGCATGACTTGATTGGCCAAGTGGTAGTGGATAATTTTTTAGATTTGGCAGATTTTCCCAGGGAATGTAATATTTGGAAGGACATTGAATATGTCACTAATGTAAGTATCATAATTTTTCTTTCTGAGATTTGTTTGTTTCTGATTTTATTTCCTTAATCAGAGTATAACTGAAGTTGTCTCGTGAATTTATGAAGGAAAATATTCTCTCTGTTTCTCAAGCTTTGACTTTAATCCAAGGAAATTGACATGACATTTTCAGTCCTCATTTCTTGTTCGTTGGATATATTAAAAAATGCCTTATGTTGGAGATAGTAGGTTTAGTCATTGCCCTGCTGATAGGGTAGAAAAGCTGCAGAATGGTTTGCTCTTAATCTTACTTAATCTAAAATTTACTTGAGGAAATACTATTTTTCTTATTTGGCCTGCCTTTCTGTGCTTTGCATGACTTGCCACATAAATGACAACACACTAACCAGCCAAAAAAGCAGATTCAAGATTTCTTACGTAGTCATCTTCAGTCCTTCAGAAGACTATATTCTCATAAAGTGAGATAACACCCCATCTATAATCCAGGGAAACAGAGTTTGGACAATTCTGTTCCGTGACAGGAATAAACCACACTGAATTGGTTTAATTCTTTGTTTGGCATCACTTTGTTATATAGGGAAATGGGAAACATAAAATAAGACTATATTGCTGTTATCCCAAAGTCTCTGATATCAAATTCTGCACAGTGATCCAATTAGTGATTAGGTGCAAAACAGCAAAAATTGCTTTTGAAGAAGAAAAAGCTTTCTTCTCAAAGCATGAGCCAACCTTCTTGTAAAGGTATTAGAAATTAATCATGCACATACTATGGAGAACAGACTTTTAGTGAGAATGATCCATTACAGAAATTAACAAAGGTGAAGCTACTAGTACCAGGAGTCAGAAAATATTTCATTTGCTTTGTCAAACCCTGCTCAAATGGAGTGCAGGCTTTCAGGTCAAATAAACCAAACATCATTAACAGTAAGATCAAAGTGTAAGTTTGTTAGACATCTATTCAGGAGAGCATTTAAGCATATATTTATCTGAGTGTAAGTAGTCATTGAAAAGCCAAGGGTGTTTCAAAACAAATTCTTTCCTGAAGTCAGACCCTGACCTTGTATCTCCGTGGCCTCATAGCATGCTGCATTACAGACCAAATGGATTAAATCCACTGTTTTGTTTGGAATTTCTTTCTGAAAATTGATACTGTCCTTGTTTCGAGCTGATCAGTGTTCTTAGTCAGCATTATGTGTCTGTGTGTGGGACATTCTGTGCACCCTCTGCACAAACCTCTTCCTCACTAGGATGGAACTGAGGAACAGGATTAGCAGTTCCCTCACTGAAGTAACAGGCGGGGATGGACACCCAGGGTCAGAGAAGGATGAACCTGCCTTTTCTATGAAAAGTTACTGCTCTTCAACTACAAGGCAAAAGTAAGAATCCGACAGAGCAGGTGACAGTCATTCCAAATGAAAGCCTCTCTTCATACAGCATTAAGTGTCCCAAGCTCCACGTTTCAGTTCTGCAGTCACCTGGAAGCTGAATGCACACGTACGCTGGAGTTGCTGTCATACACACGAGTCCTTTTTCCATGCTTTAACTTAGGCACAAGACTGGCTCTAGTATTTTCTTTTTAATTACTTTCCCTTCCAACTTTCAAAAGCAAAGCGGCACATAGTTCATCTTCAGATTTTCTGTAATCTCTGAAATTAAATTCAGGACTGAAACATGAGTCATTTATGAATTCCTACTCATATTAATTCCTTTCTGAAGTTTAGCACTGTTTATCCAGACAGAACACATGACCTGTCACCTAGACTTGTCACTGGATTTTCAGCTAACAGAGACCTTTTCAAAGCAAATGACTCATAGGAGACACAATCCAATTTTGGCTGTGAGACTTCTGAGATAACAGTATCAGATAACTGAAAGCGTGGAGTACTCAGCTTACTAATTAACAGTTCGCAAAATTCAAAGGTTAGAACTTACTCCATGAAGTTATGATAAACCCTCTAGGCACCGTTTAAGAAACCAAGTTTGAGCACATTTTCATGTCTGGATAGCTTAGATATCTCGCAGACTGACAGCAGAAACCAAAGCCTACAGGCAACTCAGTGAAGCTGTTGAAGTGAATCCTCCCATGGCTGCTCTCCAGATCAGGCCAGCAGTCAGTGTTAGTGAATCTCTGAAATCAATTTTAGCAAAGTTTCAGCACTGCTTGGCAGTTTATGGTTGCAAACAGGGACTGTGTGAGATGTTGCAGTTTTCAGACACTGTATCTTTGAATGTCTTGTTGTTTCGAATAATAAGAAAACAGACAAACGTTGGGTAAACTTACTGAAGGAAATTCACTTGATGTAGATCAACAGCCAGTGCAGCACAGAAGAGATAAACCAGGGTAACTTACTAGAAAAAGGGAAGGTCCACACAGCTACATGATGAATTTGTCATACTTCTGAAGAGCACATTCTTTTTAATTCCTTGTGCATCATATTACACTGCATAACCAGCAGTCCCCAAAGCCTTTAGTTTATTTCTCCATTTTATGTTCTAATCCAGTTTGACACAGTAATATAAAACAATGTACCAAATCCTTCTCTGCCCAGCAAAATGGCCTACTGAAATGTCAGGTTTACTGCAAACAATGCCATTAAATTAAACTGTTATGCCATGTGCTTTCTTCTCTCTTCTAATAACACTGGAAGATTATTTTTTTTTAATCTAAACCCAACAGTTTTGATTCTTTGGACTGTAACATCTGCTGCCATCTCAGAGTTTGAAGTTATTTCATAGCACAGATGTGTGTCAGCATAAAAAATTTCTACATGCTCAAAAGCAATCTGCCTCCAAACATAAATCTCCAATATCAAAATTATTGTTCTTCTAATCCCGGGTACTGTAACACTGTCACTTTTTCCAACCAGCAAAAAGCAGCAGTGGGCTGCTTAATGGAAGAAATAATTAAATGGATCAACTTCAGATAAACATAAAATGAACTAGATAAGCTTTATGTATATCTACCAGACAGATTACACTGGGTTCTGGCTCATCAAGAAAAAAAGATGCTCTTTATTTTTAGGCTTGTTTTCAGTAGGTTGGTATGTTTTCTTTAGTAGCCTCTAAAACATATTCAGGATTTGGGATGTGGGTTTTTTTGTTTGATTTGGTAATGTTCATAGTCTGATGGAAAGTTTTGAAGATAAAAGAATTCTTAATATTTCCTTGATTTCCATCTTCAAACTCTAATGTGATCAGGCAAAAAAACATGGCTTTGTCCCAAAGTAATATAAACAACTACAAAGCTTCCAGATAGTCCATTTCAGATAAAAAAGAACCTTCTCTTTCAGAAAATGCTAAGAATCCATGTACATACCTTGCTGTGCACCCAGACAGAAAAATCTTTCCTCAAGAATTGTTTCTTAAACATCACCAGGGAGCTACAGGCCACAGAGAAGGATTTCTGTGAACTGGAAATCTAGCTCTGCTTCCTACTGGTCCTTTGGATTCTCAGAATGCTCAGTTTTTGTCACTTGATAAACAGGTGATGTTTCCAGAGAAGAGGTGGGTATTTAGAAGTGGCCTCCACTTAAAGCAGAAGAATAACAGGAGTGAGAAGGAACAGGGGACATTTCCCTTCTTAGCTGGGCCAGCATTTTACAAAATGACTACTCTTTTTAGGATGCAAATTTGTGATTTTTGTCTTACCGTATATAGAGAGATTTTGACACTGATGCTATTTTTTCAGTTGTCAGATACAGTTATACTTGAGATCTAGGCATGGTGCATTGAAAACTGTTCTTTTTCTGAATGTCTAAGCTTATATATACACTTTAAAAAAATCTTATTCACAACACCCCCTTGGCATCTTTCATCTTATGCTGATGTTGAACATCCCAAAGTAACCTATTTTCTGTAATCTTTCTATAATAGTCTCTCCTCAAAGGATATTTACAAGATTTGCAGTCATTATGCACCTAATATTTTATAAATTGTAGATACCATATTGACTGCTCCCATTTACCCTCATCTTGTGGTTCCTTTGAGGCTTTTGCTGTATCCACCTCCTGTGCAGGTGTGAAGTAAACTGAAACTCTGATAAAGGTGAAAGCTGTTGGTCAGGTTCAAACCATGATTTATTCTTTATCTGGAAATAATTGGAGTACTACAAAGGATTCAAAGGAGTACTCTGTTTTGAATATGGCTCTTTTGAAGTACTTCTGCTTTTGTGTCTAGCTAAACATTGAAGAGTGTAGCATCCAGCCCCCAAAGTTAAAAAACAATGTATCAGGGTCCAAAAGGAGAGTGAAAATACAGAAGAAAAATATTTCTGAAAAAAAGAGAGAAGATATTACAGAAAGAAAACCCTGGATGATACATATGGAACTGGAGAAGAAACATGTCACAGACTTTAGAGAATGTATATGGTTCACTGAAAATCCAAAATATAGTTATAGAGTGTTCAAACCTAGAAAGAAACAGAAGGTGTGTATCAAGTTGTTTACTTTTACATATGCTGGAAGTTGCAAAGCCAAGAAATTGATTGCATCCAGTTTTAAGAATCTTCAAGCTATTATATTACATCCATAGTGATCAAGAATGCAATGGTGTGTCAGAATGCGAAATTCCTTTTGCACAGAAGCAGTAAAAAAATATTTTGAAAAAATAATGAAATTAAGTTGCATGTTGGTATACATGCTTTTGTTTTGACAAAGAGGTGGTTATAAGTATTTGAAATTCTGTGTTCTAGAAGTGCTAATTGTTCACTGCTGTTGTTCTCAAGTTTGCCCTAGAAAGACAGATTTGAGAATCTGTATTTTTAGACATTTATGTTTTATAACTGAGATGCAACTGAAATCATAACATCACCAGAAGGAGGTTTCAAGTTCCCTGCTTCAGAGATATTAATGCCAACCATGGTATGTGTGGAAGATATACATAAAGAGACTAAATTAATTCAACCAGCTGTTTATGGAAAACGTAATACAAGTCTAAAATTTTGAAATCTGACCAAACTTACCAGATTTTCTGCAATTCAAACCTATCGTGTCCTCAAAGTGCAAAATAACTTC